TTCGGATCCCGGGCGTGCACTGAGGCACTGCTTCTCCGGCCATGCTGAGGCCGCGTCCCACATACAGCAACTAGAAGGATGTGCAGCTATGACATACAACTATCTACTGGGGCTTTGGTGAGAAAAGAGTGAAAAAAAAAAGGAGGATTGGCAATACACATTAGCTCAGGGCCGGTCTTCCTCAGCAAAAAGAGGACTGGCATGGATGTTAGCTCAGGGCTGATCTTTCTCACAAAAATATAAATAAAACGTACGCTTTTACCCCATGCATGCATCTACTGGTGTTGTGTAAAATTATTAAATTACTACAGGTTGCATTAGTTTTTTTCTCCCAGCTTTACTGAGGTATAACCTACATCTTAACTACCACCTCAATTTAGGTATAGAACATTTCCATCACCCCAAGGACTTTCCTCTTAACCCTTTGCAGTCAATTCCTTCCACAAGCTCCAGCCAAGCCGTCTTTGACTTTCCTAGAATTTCATATAAAGGAATCACACGTAGTCTTTCGTGTCTGGTTTCCTTCACTTAGCATATAATGCTTTGAGATTCATGATTTCAATATCAGTTCATTCCTTTTTATTGCCAAGAAGTATTCCACCATATGCAGATACTATAATTTGTCCATCCACTCATCTGTTGTAGCTACCATGAGGAACACTGCTGTGAACATTGCATAAAAATCTTTGTATGGCCATACGGGTAAACCTGGGAGCATAATGGCTAGATGGTAGATGTACGTTTCATATTTTAAGAAACTGCCAAACTATTTCCCAAAGTGGCTAATTTTACATTCCCACCAGTAGTGCACACAAGTTCCAGGTGCTCTAGTCTCACCAACACTTGGTATACTCTTCTCAATTTTAGCCATTTTGATTTGTATTGTGATTTTATTTGCATTTCCCTGATGATGACTAATGATGTTGAGCATCTTTTCATGTGCTTATTTATCTTCTTTGGGGAAATACCTGTTCAAATCTTTTGTCCATTTTTTAAAAAGTGGGTTGTCTTCTTAAGTTGTAAGAAATCTTGATGTATGCTGGATACAAACCTTCTGACATGCATTATTTTTTATGAGAATATCTCGCTTTATTTTTTAAATGTCATAAGGATCTGTCTACAACAGAACTGGGAAGGAATAGATGGAGGTTATATGGTCACAAATCTTGCAAAGTTGGACACTGCTGCCCTGATTCAAGGTAGTAATATGGTTGGGTTTTTCTTAGTAGTAGGCTCAGCAAAAGTCCCATAAACATACTTGTTTCACTATCTTTTTTAGCCATTTCTACTGGGACTTACCTTTAAGTTGTACATTTTATAGTGTTTCATTTCATCTCAATAGTAATTGAGAACTTTTCTCAAACATTAGACCCAGCCTTTTCAATAGATGGTACCTACTGGAGGAGTCTAGATCAAAGTATGAAAGTAAAGTAGAAGGTAAGACGTGATTACAAGAAGCTTAGCTTCAGAGGAGAGATCTAACACCTCCTGTAAAATAAGACAGAAACTAGTAGCTCAACTAAGTATTTAAAACCATGGTTTTATAACATTGATTACAGTAAAATGCATGGCCTAGGGGAAAAATAAGTTTTCATTGTTTACTAATGTTCATATCACCCTGATAACGTCCACTTTAACTTTTCTAGCAGAACAGATCTATGTTCCATGTACTGTCTCAGAGAATCAGAGTAAAAAAATACCTATGCATCCTCAGATATTTTGAATTCTTGTGTTGCAGATTTTTCTTTCACTTTAAAATAACTTTCAAGGCTATAACTACTAGACCATCACTGATTCTTAAAGGTTTTCTAAAAATACTGTTCTTTTATTGTTTCCCAATGATGAACACGTCAAATGTAGAAAATAAAAACCAAAGACCCTTAGCTATTTCGCACTTGTGCACCATGTGCTCTAATCAGCTATCTTGTTGCATAAACAAGGCGGAGAACGGGGTCCTGCTATGCAGGAGTCCTCAGCGGCGGGTGACGCTCTGATGTCTGAGGAGCATTTCGCATTTCCAGAAGGGACCCTGCACTCTGCTGGTGCATTCTCTGGCTCTCCACTGGGCTTTTACTGACAACGATGTTTCATATCAACACCACACTCATGTGGCATACAGGCCGGCCTAATGAAGGGAAAGGGTGGTATCTACCCACGGAGCCAGACAGTGTTTCTCCTTTATTAAACATTAAAGCACAAATGCATGTTCCCTGTGGGGGGCAACTAAAGGACATGGGGGAGGAGAAGGGGACACCGGGTAGCCACATGGCGGAGCCCCCTCTTCACAGAAAGGGCTCGATGTTGATCTCCAGGGAGGAGCAGGGCATGGTCAGCTCAAATTTGGTGATAACATCAGGATGAAGGACCCCAAGCTTCCCGACGCTCTGACCCCTGGCAAAGACCTCAGCACATCGCCCGGGGAAGAAAGCAGGCCCTGAAAACCAGAGAGAGAGAAATCAACGTTTCTCCCGCAAAAATGTCAACAGACATTTAACACCCAATGCTCACGAGTCTACTTTAGAAATAACTATTCTTCTTTACATCACTGGTTATGAAATGAGAGTGCTTTCTCACACTTTCTAGTCTTAAAAAGGAGGATTTGCTATTACACCAAGAAACTCGCGCAAGGAAAAGGTTAGGGGCAAAATATTAAAATAAGGGCCTGTGTTTCTTATCACAGGGGTCCAGGCAGGAAGGATGACGAAACGGAGGCTGAAGGAGCAGAGTCATGAGAGGTCTTAGGGGAATTGGCCCGGACGTAGAACTGGTCCTAAAAAGGACAAAGGAAGAAAGTGAAATGTAAAACTGATGACCTTGCGTGGAAAGAACCTGTTTTGAAACAGGTTTTTCCATAGTCGTAACTTGCTGGATGAAAAGTCTGCACTGAATTCATTTACTGTTCAAAATATCACTCTTTGCTACCTTATTACATAGGGACACAAGCTGCTCTGTCATCGGCAGGCTTAGGCCTCGTCACCAGATCACAACCCACGTTCCTGTCGGAGAAGGAGCTTTCCAAGCAGACGTGGAGCATCTGCTGTGAAACCACAGCAAAGGCCAGCCCCACACCAGTCCGGGTTGATCCCTGATTTACTCCAAGACAGGCCGAGTTCTCTCTTCCTTTGCGTGCCACAACGCACGGGCAGGCTTACCAAACCAGCAACAGGTCTTGAGGTTCAAACAGCTAAAAACAACCAAGCAACCAACCCAGAGGTGCATCCGTGTTCAATGAATTACCTGTGCCACAGGAGTTTATCCACACTCCCCACTCCCCTGAAGGGAAACAAAGTGCTGACTCATTTCTCTCACCACCAACTTGAAAAAGGATCAGGCCCACAGCTCCTGGCTGATTCAACTGAGACATTTACTGGCACGAACTATAAATACCCAGCAGGGCCGGGCCACAAGCTTACAGCCTGCCATTTCAGAGGGAGTGCATTATTTATGAAAGAGTCAACTGCGGAGTCTCACTAATGGCTCCAAGGTTGGCCTAATGAAGAAATACAGAAGGGGGGTGCGGAGGGGGAGACCTGCTACTGTCAAGTTAGTATCAGCTATACCAGAGAGACCCAGGACAATTACACATATTTCCCAATCAGCACAGAAGGTTGTTTGTGTATAATCCTGAAAAACATTTTTAATTCTCATCCTTAAATAATCCCAAAGCAACCTGGCTGAAATATAACACAGTCTGTTTTTCACATCCCCCCAAACTAAACAATTCTGCTTTACTGCCTATTAAAGCAAGAGTTTCAATAAACTGCATTCGAAGTTCAAAATTATTTGGCTATGTACGCTTGGGAAGAGGGGTGTGGAGAGGCTGAAAATAACACAGAAACCAAACTGAATTGGTAATGTAGAGCTTTAGTGAGATATGAATATCACTAAATCTGATAAAGATGGCTTATTTTAATTCTCTCAAAATGAAAACTTAACTTTAAAGACAACAGCATTTCCCCTGCCAAATAAAAGAAACCGTCAAATGACAAACAAGTTTGTATGAAGTGTGGATGGAAGGCAGTACAGCCCAGAACCAGAATGGGCAGGACTGCTGAGAAGCTCCTGTGCCATCACATCCCCCCACGCCCTTTTGTTCAGAACCACATTTGAATAGTCTACACTATCTGAAAAAGACACCAGCGTATTTGTAAAGGACACTCAGAAAGGAAGTTTTCAAGACCTTCCCTGATAACCTCGCTACATTTAAGAATCCTCACTGTACCAAAAGCCTTCCTTTTATCTATCTTCACATTCCTATTTCATTGAATTTATCTTAACTCAAGCGTAAAACCAGACTATTTTAGAATCTAAGCCAGATGTGCTAGCTCTGACAATATTAACAAAATAAAGCCTAAGAGATAAGAACTTTGAATTTGTACTTCATAAAGCAACCTTTTGAATCAGCACTTTGTAGCAACATTCAGTTACATTCCTCTTCAGTTAGCAAGCTGTACCTCTCTCCACAAGTTGGCCCAACATTGCTTTACCTCATTAACCAGTTAGGTACTCAGTCAAACAAAAATATTCATATCACTAAATACAATTTTTCCTCCTTCCAAAGAAAAGCAATGAGGACTGAAATTCATAGTATGCATTATGTGAAACACATCCAAGTATGCACGTATTCCAAATGATAAAAATATCACAAGCTCTCAGCCCAGTCCATGGGCCCGTCCGAGTCACCACAGCATCCTGACCTGCTCCTGGGTCAGAAGGCTTTCACTGCAGAGGAGCTGCTTCCGAATGGAGTGGGTACCAAGGGGTCCTCTGCCCTCTCATCCAATGCTAATCATCCCCTTCCCACCCACATGAAAAAATTAAGCCCAATAATAGGACTGCTGTATAAACTCCACTTTGCTGAATACTGCACACTTTAACCTGTGATGACAGTTTTAACTTTTGCCATTTTTCATTTCTAACAAGGTGCGATTATGATATAAACACTGCCTATGATTTTCCTATTGACTCCACCGTTCAGTTAGAGCAAGGCTGACGTTCTCTTCTTCACATACACAAATTGAGAGACACACAAAAGGGGCCTTCAGGTTTTAAGGGGTACAGAGAGAACCTAAAAAAATGTACCACTTGACTTATGTTGCATGGGAACTAGAAATACTGAAAGAAAATTTAAAATTACTAAAACACAAGCATTTCCTAGTGCTTTTAAAAAACCTTTATAGTTCAAACCAAACTTTGCAGGCAGAAGTGAATCGCTTCAAAGAATGGCAGACAAGAGAGAATTGCCTCACTACCAAAACAAAGGGAACGCACCCACTAAGGCAGCAATTAGGCCTGAGTTCAAAGACGAGAGCGTCTCCCTGTCAGCAGGAGGGGAGGTGAGCTCAGTAGCTCAGCAGATCAATGCAATCACAATGCTCCAGCCAGGACTGATGCAACTTAGATCTTTCCAGAAGTTAAAGGCACAGCTGAGTCAAACCCAAATATAAGTCTAGGCTTGTGAAAAATCAGACCTGGATGGTAGTCAAAGGCTACTCTGATATCAACAACAAAAAATAAGAAGATATTTCTGGAGGAAGAGCAGCCTGCTGTGTCTAGAGACACGAAGTGGCCAATTCAAGGAAAATCATGTTGCCTTGTGAACGGGAATTCTAAAGTTTAAATTCTACACAATACATTCGCTCACTCTCAGCTTTGCTGGTATTCATCATGGTAAAACAGCTTGCAACCTAAAACAGATTTGGGGAAAATAGTGTTCTCTGTTGAAATACATGTAGAAGCCCAGACAAAAGAAACATCAGTTAAGCACAAATAAGAATTTAATTTCCAAAACTTAGTGGGGTGTAAGTCAGTCCCTTAATTAAAGCTTTTGTAGCATCTTCTCAAGGTCTGTAATTGTCCCTCTGCTCAAACGGCAGGACCACTTTGAGGACCTTGGGGGTAATTCCTGGGCCAGTAATCCAGCAGAGCGCCCAGTCTTTAGCACATTTTCTGGCTAATTGACCTTCAAAGAGTTTGTGAGCTCCCTCTCTCGCTCGTTGCCAAACACCTTTCACAGTTTCTTTTTGCCCCCGTCTTTCTTTTAGAGTAATATTATAGGCCCAAAGTTTGGATAAGCTTTAACACGGTCATTCCTATAATTTTATGAAGCATCAGAAGTAGAAGCTTAAGGCCATAACTGAGCAGACCCCTCATCTGAAAGCACCACAATCTTATCAAGCATGAGGCTCTTAATTCCTTAATCTTAAACCCCCTGCCATTGGTTATATTCAGCTAATTCATTTGGCACTTTATTCCCATCTCTAAAAATCACCTACTCATACACTTTTACTTTTCCCTTTCTTCACATTACTAACATATGCTTTGGGGTTCAAACCCAGATATTATAACTGTTTACAATCTGGTACTTTACCACCCAAATTTTCTACAATAAAAAGGTAAGAACAAGATAAAAAGGAGGGTGGGGAACACTGGAAAAGGAATGTCCGTATATTACATACATCACAGCAAACAACAGAAACTATCATCAGGAGCTTAAACACAAATAACCAGACATATGTAGTCTCCAAATTCAGAGACAAAATACAAAATGCAGAATTATACAGATACAGTAAGCCATTAGGACCAACTGAGTGTATTTTAAATCTGTTCTAAATGACTGATTACGTAATATGGGATAGAGGGCAGGAATAACCAGTCAACAGGTTGACTCTAGAGCTGGCACCTACCCAAACCCTACCCTTTCCTCCCTCTACGTGCTTGATTCTAAATACAACTAGATATATATTCCATGGTCCAACAGCCCATCCTAGGAAATGACACAAAAGACAAAAAAAAAAAAAAAAAAAAAAAAAAATCCCCAGTGTTCCATTCTGGAGTGAAACTGACAGAGTGGATGACAAGGCAAAGAGTGGAATGGGGCTTGAAATCATAATTTTCTAGGTAGAACTTTCTCCTGGTTTCCCACCACTTTTCTGAGAATGTAGTAACCATAACTAACTCTGCTGCCAGCACATCAACCTCACTTTCCTTTTCTGAATAATGTTAATTTAAAGGAAGAGAAAAGACAAAATATAGGGCCTATTTTACAAAACTGAACATACACTTATATGTGTGAGCATGGTATCATTCTTAAGGGTAATCGTTCTCCGAGTTTTAGAAGCAGGAGTTTTTTTAATCGTTCTCCGAGTTTTAGAAGCAGGAGTTTTTTGAATGCACCAATGGATTATACAAAGAGGGGAGGACCCGAGGGCGGAAAACGCACAATGTAGGTAAGATATTAACTTATAAAAAGAAAGAAAAAGGTTTAGGAATATGAGGAGGAAAAGTCGGCATAACTACTGAGATATAAACACACATTTTCAGATCGTAGTAAACTCCAGGTTGGGAGAAAAACATCTCTGCAAAGATCATTTAATTTGTAAGTGGAGACTGAATAATTTCCAACTTGTAATATAAAACACCCATTTTCCCCCA